GTGTTTTGTCATGTGCAGGCAATACTAACTATAAATTCCACTTCCCTTTTCCAAATATGGAAGGAACACCCTGTCAGAATAGTGTGATGAGTTTTTTTTTTTTTTAGTTTGATGAGTTCTAGTGAGGCAAATGAGATACAACTGCTAATCTTTGAAACACCATGCATTCCTCATAATGTCAAGAGTAGTGACAGTGGAATAGTCACTACTCTTAGAATAGTCCATAGTGACCATGGAATTTGTTTCGACAGGATGGTAAATTTCCTTCTGTCAATAAAAAGCACAATTCTGGACAACATCCCTGTGAGGAAGGCAGGTTTGATCTTCCTGGCATGAGGGATAAGCAATGGGCCACAGAAAGAGCTGACAAAAACTGAGGACTGATGGATGTGGGGGGGAGGGGGGGATGGGCATGAGGGAGGGCACTTTGTGGATGAGCACTGAGTGTTATGTAGAAACTAATTTGACAATAAACTATTTGTTAAAAAAAAAAAAAAAAAGAAAGAAAGAGATGATCTTTACACTGGAGGAGGGTGGTAAGGAAAGGCATGGCAACATGGTTTGCTGGCAGATTCCACAACCTGTTAACAAAAAACTGACCACAGTTTTTCTCTCCATCAAATAAAACACACTTTGAAATATTTATTATCTAGTCAGATGACGTAGGAAATTCCAGCCTAAAAATAAATTACTATTACCCACAATCGGTAACATAGCACAAAATAAGGGTTTTTTTTTTTTTCTTTTTGTATTTCTATACACTGGAGACCACTTCATTGTACACAGGATGATTAAGTCTCATCCAAGCATTCAGGAAAATAAGGGCCCAAGAGAATATTATGAACAAACCGAGTGCTGTAACTAGCTCACCAATGACCTCCCCCCACCCCCGCCAGCAAGTGGTTAAAATTTAAAAGGCATATTTACATATATTATTTTCTTTCATATCTTCAGTAACTCCAAGTTAGCCAGCTTATTCCTATTTTACAGGCAAAATGATCAAGGCCTAGATTGGATAATTAACTTGACCAAGGTCACAGTTGGTAAGCAGTCAAGACTTGAGCTAATATCATCTGAGTCCAAGGTTAGGCTCCTTCCATCTCACCACCATTGCCTTGCAATGAACAATGTCCAAGTTAGCCAAATCTAATCCGCCATCATGACACAGAGGGAGTTCAATTAATACAGTTTAGTTATTTTGTCCTCTAATGCAGTGTTTCTCAAACTGTGATCCATTCATATCAGAATCACTCAAGAATCTTGATTAGAATGATGGAAACATCTGGAGATTTTGTTCAGTAGGTTTGGAGCAATGCTCTGGAAACGGTGTACTGATGATTCAGATAATCCTTTGGAATCCTTCATGTGGCTCAATTTCCATGGCTATTGTTCAAACTTTGCCAGATCTAATTTCTGTTATAGTGTTACCTGTGTAGATTTCCTCCTCCTATCTGTTTAATTTCAGAGGCCATAAATGTCACCATTATGGAAGGAAAGCCCTTCTGCCTATTTCTAAAGGCAATGCTCAGTTTAATGTGAAGGATCTATGTGGAATTAAAAAATAAACATTGATCACATTCCCAAATGCCATAGGCTTTTACTCTCTGAGGTACTGCTGGGATGACTTGATATTTTGATCTACTCTGCTTCTAAAAGCAGGATTTGCCCTTGTTTCTTCCATGGCTTTCTCCTCCCTCATCAAAAATAAACCTTAGGGTAGCAGGTGATGATGAGACTGCTATTACTGTGAATCAGGTGGGTCATCCATTAGTTACTTAAATACTTAAAGATCAATGGTCATATATTTGTGTAGGTTTGTTAAGGAAAAGGAGACTAGGATTATGAAGTCCCATCAAAATATCTTTGTTTTTGGCATTTTTGTGGCCTGGAAGATCTACATCCTGATGATTCCAGTTACAGTGACAATGTAAGTCAAATGAGATCTGATAATCTTCCATGTGTCCTAAAAGTACTGTTAACAAACTGAACGGATAAAGCCCAGGCTTTAAATCTTGCCCATGTCCCTTTACAACTTGTCTGATTCAAGCGAGGAACATTGAGGGCCGAGATCTCCTGATGAGGACAGTCCAGCAAGGTCATGGTATCTTCTGAGAAGGTGATATGGAGAGCTGGGCTGGAGAGCACTCTCTGCTTTTATCTGTGCTGAGATAGGCTGGGCTGAACCGTCCAGCTGAACTGGCTGAACTGGGTAGACGACGGTATGAGGTACAAAGGCAGGATGTACTAGAAGAGGAAGAATTGGGTACACGGGGAAGGGTGGAATAAAGAGTTCTATTTTGACTATGTTGAAAACATGAGCTACCCTGGTGGATAGGTCCTATAGGTAGTTGGATCTAAGGCGAGAGGAAGGGTCTGGGTTGGAGATGTGAGTTTGAAGTTATAAGCATATAAAACTATGAAGGCATAATACATGATAATGCCAGAGAGAGTATATGATGTGAGGAGGAAAGAAAGAATAAGCACTGAAGAATCCAATGCTTATCATTTAACAATCTTTAGCAGAGAAGGAGAGGAAGCAGCAAATGACACAGAAAAAGTAGGCACATATGATAGTGCAGAAGGTCTCTACTGATGGGCTACTGGCTCGTTTTCTATCTTTTGTAGTGAACACTTCTGTATGCACTCATTTCTCACATCTGTATCTATCTCTGTAGGATAAATACTCCAAATTGGAAATACCCAAAAATCTCATTCTGAATTTCCAAGTGGTGATGTTTGAGAGAAAAGGTTGTTCAGAAAAGCCACCAAACATAGATAGCTTAGTTAACCATATTTAATGTGGCATTTGATAGGAATGGTTAAATAAATTTGCTATATCCCTATAATGTAATACCCTATAGGCATAAGAAAGAATGAGGCTATCAATCATTTCTGCTATGGAAGAGGAGGAAGGCAGATGGACTTTTTACAATTTTGAAACTATTTGAATTTTGTGCCATTCGCATGTTATCTAGATTTAAAAATATTTGTACTTCTACACAACACTTAGTAAAAAAGAATGACCTGGAGATCAATTTACCTTTTCTCTCTGAGAACATCATCACAGGTTTCTGATGGACTTCTGTATACCTAGGTTTTACATTGTGGAAATACCCAGCTAGATGTTTATGAGACCATAATACAGAAAACTGCTCTAAATGTGGCAAAGGTCTGAACACATGAAGTAAACTCATCTAGAGTTTAAGTTAGAGATTTTGGAATTTGTTATTTTGCCACTTTTATTGTTAGTGAATAAATCTACTTCATTTTGTTTACTTTAGAGATGTCTCCAGACTATATCATCATCACCCTCTCATGTGTCCCCAAAATATCACTGAACACAGAATGGATCAGGTCACGTCTGAAGACAATATTTCCAATACAGGCAGTAGTGATGATCTTACACCTTTTGTTTTCTGTTTTGAAGAAGGGCAACATAATAGGGATAGGAGTTTGAGTTTTAAAAAATGTTCCATATATACTAAGCTGCACTAGACCGGTAACTTTAATTTTTGAGATTTAGCCTTTTTGAATATTATTGAAAATGGACTGCTTCTTCCCTCATAATAATGTTAAATATATTCTGAAATCAGTTTTAAAAATTCAAGAAGAAATTTAGAATATGGAAAAATTCGCTTGAATAAGCCGGAAGATGATTCTACCTCTCTTACCACTAAACTTCAGTTTCCATCCTTTCAAAGGTTTTATACAAATTCAAGTGAAAAAATGAGCTGAAGGGCTAGACGGCGACTCTGGCAGAAGAGTCTGTCAGGTACCTCATACTGAAGCAATCTGACTCTGCTTCATCTTCTTTCATCTATGCCCTCCTCTCCACCCGGATAAGCACAAGATTATGCCAGGGGCGACAGTAGAACGAATACTGGCCTATAAGTCACAGCCTGGATTTAAGTGTGAATATAGTCATAGCTTCTATATGATCTTGGGCAGGTCACTCCAGCTCTCTGGGCCTCAGATTTGGAATACGCAAAATGAGGATCAGGTCTGAGGTTGCATTTAAGTTTGGTGCCTAAAGCATCTGGAACTACAGGTCGCAGAAGGTATGGTAGACTTAACTATTGGCAACGATTCTTCTTGCATTGTCATCCTTACCATGGCTTCATCGTGCACAGAATGTATTTTCCCGCTCCTTGATCTTGGGCTTCGCCACATGACTTCCTTTGACCAAAGGGATATCAGTAGATACGATACAAGCAGGGGCTCAAAATGTACATTAGCTCTTACTCCCTTGTAGTTAATGGCTTAGAATATTTTATAAGCTGTTTATAATAGAGCTCTCTAATTGTTAGGTCCTAAGCAGGGTGACCCTACATCCCAATTTTCCCTGTTCAGTCCTGGTTTACAACTGTTGCCCTAGTATAAGGATTTCGTTCTTTTCACTCTCAAAAGTGGACTGACTCAGATTATAAATTATACAGTCACCGAAGGAAACCCTTCAGTTCATTTTGAAAACTAACCTGGTTAATCCACACATTTGCTACAATAACAGGGCCACCTCCTTGCCCAAGCAACCATCCCCACTGTGCCTTCTTTGGATCATGGGTATTCCCAGGGTGAGAAAAGGGTAGCCAGTATTCCTTCTTACTCTTCAAGTGATCTGTATTATGAGTGGCCCCTCTATCCCTCAAACCATTTTAAGAAACATAAAAGAACTCATTAATAGAAAAGTTTAGGGAATCCAAATTTCAACTGTAGTTTCAAAGAGGCTTGCACCATTTCCCTTACGGTATAGAGCCTAGGAATCATTGGATAATTTGCTTGCTGACCGGACAGTGTGGCACACTTTCTATCATGCAATCAAAAAGGCCTTGGCCATTGGACATGTAGAGGTACATGCTCTTATAGACACTCAGCAAGACCCTAAATGTTCGTAACACTGACATCTCTCCCCACATGCCTTAATACCCTCAGGTGAGAAATGGCAGGGAAACAGAATCCCAGTCAGACAGTGCGTGGAGGCCTCATTTTGGAGACTGGTACCTTCAGAGTCTACATTTCCCCATGCTGGAACGGAGCATGAGAACACCCTCAATGGGAATCCCAGGATTGTTGGCCATCTTCTGCCAAAGGCGGTGCTCTTCCCCCTGAGAGTCCATCCAATCCACATTCTTCCCATAGCTCGTACCTAAAGAAGGGAAAAAGGAGTGTTACAGTTCACAGACGAAATATTTTATCTTCTAGAAGACACTTATCAACGCTGGAGGGGGCGTTGTGAGCAGAGAGTCCTTCACTGGCTTCTTTTTCCTTACCATACCTAGTGAGTAGTGTTAGTTAGAACAAAAGGCTTCCTTTGTAGTCTGACTACTCACTTCTGCGAAGATGAAGAGAAACAAATCAGGATGGCCCTAGTGGCCATTTCCACCACTCCCCACTTTGGTAGTTTATCAGAGAGCTGGCTCTCTTCTGGACGGAGTTAACATGACAGAAGAACAGGCTGAATTGGGCTCTGAAGATCTCACTTTTTTAACAAGGCCCCTTGTTAAATTTCCCACTGACCTAGGAATTTTTCACTTTAGTGGTATAGATATCCTTGGCTCTCCTTAATGTATAACTAAGGAGAGCATCATAGAGGCAGGGTTGTTCTTAACAAGAATATAGACCATGGTGCATCCAGACCCTCTACGTCTTACTTAAATTATGGAATAATGAGAATCTGGGGGGCTACATGTGCTCTACTACTGTCATTTCCCTCCAATTCACCCTGTTGTGGTTGCACCTTGTGGCATCAGTAGTGTGCTTCCATGATCTGTTTTTAGCGGGGCGGGGGCTTGGGGGTGGGGAATGGATTTTCTTTCAATTCAACCAGTGAGTAATCTGAGAAGAGGATGAAAGTAAAGTTGGTCTTAGAAGTTGTTCTCTCCCCTATCAGAAGTCTGTGCTGTCTTGGTGACCCTCTTCTGAGCAAAACATGAAAGAATACCCAAGAAGATAGCTGAAATTCACTTAGACTATGATGTAAGTGATATTTCATAAAAGGGCTGAATATAAACATCATATATCCTAAACTTACAGCCAAAGGATGCAAACTTACGTAGTAGTATTTTTAACAAGGAACAGATTCTTGGCCAAAGGGATGGAGCATCTGTGGTATATTCAGGAATCAGCTAAACTGAAACTACATGTACATCTACTACAGGTTAGCCTGCAGAACCACTCTTCCGCCCCATGCCTCATCACAGACCATCTCATGACCCCAAGTCCCTCACCGGTTCCAGAATTCAAACGAACTCCTCCCAGAAAGATGTTGCTGGAAAAGGCCTCCTTGTCCCAGACAGTAAGTTCTAGGCAAACATTCCTTATGTCCTGGGGATTCAGGCCACTGAACATGAAAGTATGATTCCACTGAGGGTTGACACTCTTTTTTATTACCAGAGTTTTATGCTTGGTGGCTTTGCTATCATCAGGGAGCAGGTAGCTGTAAGAGAAAATGCAATCAGGCCATCGGTGAGACAGTAGGCAGAAAATGGCATCTTTGAGTAGTTATTTCAATTCCCCATAATTCTTAGTATGTGCGTGTGCATGGGTGCATGAGTGTGTATTTGATTTTTTCTTCTGCTTCACTCTAGATTTAAGTGGACTGGTTTATTGTTTATTTTAAGTAGGATGATAGGAAAATGCCTGCACTCTCCTTTCTAATCCTGTTTTGGTCCCTCATCTTGAAATGAAAATTTCTCCTATAGTAGGTGCTTACAATAAATAAGATACCTTGTAACACTTGAGGTTTCATTTCATGTACCAATAAGAGACTCCTTATCTCCCAATATTCATTCTCTCCTTCTTCTTTATTTTTTTTTTTTTTTTTTTTTATATTTTATTTATTTCTAGGACAGAGAGAGAGAGAGAGAGACAGCGTGAGCAGGGGAGGGTCAGAGAGAGAGGGAGTCACAGACTGAAACAGGCTCCAGGCTCTGAGCTGGCAGTCAGCACAGAGCCCGATGCGGGGCTCGAACCCACGAACAGCGAGATCATGACCTAAGCGAAAGTCGGACGCTTAACCGACTAAGCCACCCAGGCGCCCCATCTCTCCTTCTTCTTTAAAACAGACTTTTTTTTTAAGTTAGGCACAAGACTACCCAGAATAAAGATAATATTCCTAGCCTCCCTTGCAGCCTGTATAGCTGTGTACTAAGTTCTGGCCAATAGGACACAAAAAGTGTCTCTATATGAAATTTCTGGGAATTATCTTACAGCTGGAATTTGGATGGGATAGCTGAAACTCTAGCAGCTATCTGGGCCAATAAGGAAAATACCACAGCAAGACAGAAGAAATATGGGTCACTAATTATCATGATGCTTTCTTACCTGCCCTCGATACTTTACCTTTTGTTTTTGTTTACATGCAAGAGAAAAAAAAACTTTACTTTCTCAAAAAAATCTAAGGTCTCTTATAAATCAGCTCAATATTTAACTAGGGAGATAATTTACTAGAAAGTTATTGGCCTGTTTTCATTATAGAACAAAGATACTATCCTTTATGATCTCCGCTTTGCAAATGTTCAACATGATAAAGTGAAAACTATTTCAAGAGAGGTTAAGTCACCCCTGTAAGGTGACAATGAGGCCATAGGTAAGGAGCCATCATCCCCTCATCCCACCAGAGTGAGCAAGAAGAGGCCTGAACAGATGGTGGGGCTGATGAGGAAAAAAAAGCAATGGCAAGATCCAAATAAAACATTTCTTTTGTGCTGAAAACTACTATGAGAAAGAATGGAGGACAGATGGACTGGGACTCAGGCCCACACACTCACTGGTAGGAAAGCCCCAGATATCTGCTTCTCTTTATTATTTGCTTTATCAAAATTAGAGTGTGTGTGAGGGTAAAGATTTGACTCATTTTCCTGTAGAGACCATTACACTTTTCTAAGAAGGATTGATGACAGGAACAGTAATGTCACTGACATTACATTAAGCCTTTGAAGGCTTAACCTCATGCCTAAAACCTCTAATAAATACACAAAAAATAAAGAGAAAGAAAGCCAAATATAACACTACAGAAACTCATCAACTGCAAAGAAAGAGAGCAAGAGAAGAAGAGAAGCACGGAGAAGAACTACAAAAACAACCAGAAAACAATGAACAAAATGGTAATAAGCTCCTACCTATTAAAAATTATCTTAAATGGCTTTCTGCCCGTGGACGCCGCCGAGTAAGCATCGATAAAGTCTCCCCTCCCACCGCCGTCATGTCTAAGTCAGAGTCTCCCAAAGAGCCTGAACAGCTGCGGAAGCTTTTCATCGGAGGTTTGAGCTTTGAAACAACCGATGAGAGTCTGAGGAGCCATTTTGAGCAATGGGGAACGCTTACGGACTGTGTGGTAATGAGAGATCCAAACACCAAGCGCTCCAGAGGCTTTGGGTTTGTCACCTATGCCACTGTGGAGGAGGTGGATGCGGCCATGAATGCAAGGCCACACAAGGTGGATGGAAGAGTTGTAGAACCAAAGAGGGCTGTCTCGAGAGAAGATTCTCAAAGACCTGGTGCCCACCTAACTGTGAAAAAGATTTTTGTTGGTGGCATTAAAGAAGACACTGAAGAACATCATCTAAGAGATTATTTTGAACAGTATGGGAAAATTGAAGTGATCGAAATCATGACTGACCGAGGCAGTGGCAAAAAGAGAGGCTTTGCTTTTGTAACATTTGATGACCATGACTCTGTAGACAAGATTGTTATTCAAAAATACCATACTGTGAACGGCCACAACTGTGAAGTAAGGAAGGCTCTGTCTAAACAAGAGATGGCTAGTGCTTCCTCCAGCCAAAGAGGTCGAAGTGGTTCTGGAAACTTCGGTGGTGGTCGTGGAGGTGGTTTTGGTGGGAATGACAACTTTGGTCGTGGAGGAAACTTCAGTGGGCGTGGTGGCTTTGGTGGCAGTCGAGGTGGTGGTGGATATGGTGGCAGTGGGGATGGCTATAACGGATTTGGTAATGATGGAAGCAACTTTGGAGGTGGTGGAAGCTATAATGATTTTGGCAATTACAACAATCAGTCTTCAAATTTTGGACCCATGAAAGGAGGAAATTTTGGAGGCAGAAGCTCTGGCCCCTATGGTGGTGGAGGCCAATACTTTGCCAAACCACGAAACCAAGGTGGCTATGGCGGTTCCAGCAGCAGCAGTAGCTATGGCAGTGGCAGAAGGTTTTAATTACTGCCAGGAAACAAAGCTTAGCAGGAGAGGAGAGCCAGAGAAGTGACAGGGAAGCTACAGGTTACAACAGATTTGTGAACTCAGCCAAGCACAGTGGTGGCAGGGCCTAGCTGCTACAAAGAAGACATGTTTTAGACAATACTCATGTGTATGGGCAAAAAACTCGAGGACTGTATTTGTGACTAATTGTATAACAGGTTATTTTAGTTTCTGTTCTGTGGAAAGTGTAAAGCATTCCAACAAAGGGTTTTAATGTAGATTTTTTTTTTTTGCACCCATGCTGTTGATTGCTAAATGTAATAGTCTGATCATGACGCTGAATAAATGTGTCTTTTTTTAAATGTGCTGTGTAAAGTTAGTCTACTCTGAAGCCATCTTGGTAAACTACCCCAACAGTGTGAAGTTAGAATTCCTTCAGGGTGATGCCAGGTTCCATTTGAAATTTTATTTGCAACCTGCTTGGGCACAGAATCCATTGTCTCCACAAACATTGGTGTGGTTGAACTGACAGTTAATGTGTTGTGACCTGGAGTTCACCGTTAAAAGGGTCACCCAAGCAAAGTCCTGGAGTTTATTTGGTTATTAATATGATTGTTGGCACATCCTATGCAATATATCTAAATTGAATCATGGTATCAGATAAAATTATAGATGGGATTAAAGCTTGTGTATCATCCATTATCATGTGTAATCAATAAACGATTTAATATTCTCTTGAAAAAAAAAATTATCTTAAATGTAAATGGCCTAAATGCCCCAATCAAAAGAGAGAGGATGGCAGAATGGATTAAAAATCAAGATCGACCTATATGCTGCCTATAAGAGACTCACCTCAGACCTAAAGACACATATAGAATGGAAGTAAAGGGATGAAAAAATTTTATCACGCAAATGGAAGCAAAAAAAAAAAAAGCTAGGAGAGCAATGATACTTATATCAGACAAAATAGAATTTAAAACAAAAGCTATAAAAAGAGACACAGAAGGGCATTACATAAGGAGATATGGATCAGTCCAACAAGAGGGTATAACACTTGTAAGTATCTATACACCCAACATTGGAGCACCTAAACACATAAAACAAACATTAATGGACATAAAGAGAGAAATTGATGGTAACATAATAGTAGTAAGGTTTAACACCCCACTTAAATCAATGGCAGAAAATCAATAAGGAAAAGGTGTCTTTGAATGACACATTAGACCAGATGGACATGATAGCTATGTATACAGAACGTTCCATTCCAAAACAACAGAATACAGACTCTTTTCAAGTGCACACGGAACACTGTCCAGAATATATCACATGTTAGGCAACAAAACAAGCCTCAATAAACTTAAGAAGATTGAAATCATACCATGCATCTATTCTGACCTCAATCACAAGAAAAAAATCGGAAAAAAAGAAATATGATTCTGCCAAAGCACTCTCCAGTTGATTTCTCTGAGGAGGATGCTCTGAAATCTCTACTTTTTACAATTTCCCCTAAGAGAGCAAAACACCAATGATCTAATATTTTTGTTGTTTTTGTATATTGCCAGTACCAAATGATAACAAAGCACAATAAAAATATATTACATGTAGAAAGGCATATTTTCTCCTCCTTTGAGAGATGAATCTTACAGGACAATCTGCCAGTATTGAGGGTGAGAATGATGGGAAACCCTGAAATATGCTGGAAGCAAGCTGAAAGCTGGAATAAGCAGCCCCCTCTATACTTGTGTTGTTTCATATCTAAAAGCTAGTATTCATGGGGCACCTGGGTGGCTCAGTCAGTTAAGTGTCTGACTCTTGATCTTGGCTCAGGTCATGATCTCACAGTTTGTGAGACTGAGCCCCGTGCTGGGATTCAACGTTTGGGATTGTTTGGGATTCTGTCTCTCCCTCTCTCTGCCCTTCTGCTGCTCACTCTCTGTCTCTCTGTCTCTCTCTCTCTCTCTCTCTCTCAAAAATAAATAAACTTAAAAAAAAATTAAAGGCAGCATTTAAGGGTAGTTCTTTCCTTGTACATTTAGAATAAGATGAACACAGAAGTCTCACAGCCACCACCATCTCATGGACCACAGACCCTCTCATCTACCATTAAGTATCTTCTAAAATGAGTTAAAACAAAATTACCCCTTCACAAAGCTATCACAAGTGCCTCCTGACTTCACTGCTGTCAAATTCTTTGCCTCTTTGATGAACACTTCCAGTATTCCTCCAGAGATTACAGGTGACTCCTTCTTCTTTCCCCTTTTGAAGCTCTTCTTTCCTGCATCAGCCATCAAAATGAGAGAGATGCAGAGAGAGGGAGGGAGAAGGGAAGCGAAAGAAGGAAGAGAGAGAGATCATGGGTTCTATTTGTAAAGTTCACAAAGAAAATCCGTAAACATTTATTTCATTTGCTCACTGAATCAAGTCTTTATGCTACTGTGTATTTTTCCATGTATTTATTTGTGTTTTTTTTTTTTTTTTTTTTTTTACCCCACAGGAGTCCTTCTAGATACGTTTCCCATTTGCATTTGTTGAAAAAAAATGAACAAATAAATTTAAAACTTTAAATACTCCCCAACAAGGAGTATCTTTTCACACATATAGAAAGAGAAATGGAAAAGACCCCAAGAGCTGCCTGAGCCACATTCTGGCTCTCAGTGAGAAACAGCTACAGTGAACACCACACACAAATGTACAGACTCCAAGAGAAAATTCCATAACTTCCTTCTTAGATATTTTAGTCTTATAAATTGAGAACTGTGCAAAGCCAGCTCCGAAGGCTATATATAGCCCCGGCACAACTACAGTTTTGAGTGAGAGAAAACTCTCCCATGTCACATTTTTATTCTGATGAAATGTGCTCAACATGAATGATCACCACCACCACCACTACCTTTATTTAGCGCTGCTTTAAGCACTTTACATGAATGAACCTATTTTTTTTTAACACTTTTTAAAGTTTTTTTTTTTTTTTTTTTTTTTTTTTTTTTT